AAATCTGAAACTTAGTACACATGGGGTGCAGAGTTCAGAAAAAATCCGACTCTTGAGGTACATGAACATTTTTCTCATTGTTCACATATTGGGGTGAGAAGTTTTTTAAAATATATATAGTGACGGATGAGGATGTCATCGAGAGGCGTAACAGGAAGTCTTGCGTTCGTGGTGTATTAGCATCACATCTAACTGGTAAACGGGAGGCCCCATGTTTTTTTACATGTTTTTTTTTGCTTCTCTTTCCTTCCATGTCCCGTTGATTGAATAAAACGAAGAGACATGGAAAGCTGAAACGTGGTATGGACTTGTCTAACGACAATATGAGTTCAGGAAAAATGCGAAATTTTAGATCCATGTCCTGGAGGCAAATTTTTGAGGCCGACGTTTTCAAGTATTTTTTTTTGTCCTGGCGTATTGATCTAGTGTGGAAAGATCCTTGGAGAAAAATTCAGTCTTTGGAAGGAAATGCCCGGGGGGGGCACAAATTTTAAAGGGAGATGTTTTCACATAATTAAATTGCATTTTTTGTTAAACCGATGGACATAGAAAGCTGTAGCTTTGTATGAATGTGGCTACCGAGACGAGGAGTTCAGAAAAAATGCAAAATTTAAGTTCCATGCCCTGTGGGGCCATATTCTTAGGGGCCGACGTTTTCATGTAATTTTTTTTTGCTCTGGCTTATTGGGCTGGGGTGGAAAGATGAAACTTGGTACATAACTACCTATAGGGATCTTGCATGCGGAAATATTCAGACATTGGAAGCAATTGCCCCGGGGACGCAAATTCAATGGGAATATGTTTTCAAATAATTTATTTCCATTAGTTAAACTGATGAACATAGAAAGCGGAAACTTTGCATGAATGTGACTACTGAGACTAGGAGTTATTGGAAATTGTTAAGTCTAGATACATTCACTAGGGAATTTTTCCGTGGGGCGATGTATAAAAAAAACTTTGTCTAGGCGATTTGGACAGATATGTAAAGGTGAAACCTGGCACACGATTCATTGACACAATATTATTGAATTGAGGGAGTATTCAGCTTTCATGGTGCATCCCCTCCGGGCATAGCTTTTGAGTGGGTTGGGTTTTCCAAGCAAGTTGTGGGTGCTAGGGCAAGGGTGCCAAGTTATTCACGTTATTCTTTTCCAAGTGTAAACTTTCTAGCAAGGGTGCTAGAAAGGTTAAACTTGGCAAAGAATAACGTGATGGAGAACTAATGAAAGAAAAAATTATTCTTTCATTATATATAGACGATCGTGAGTAGCTGACGGGCATAAGTAGTTATTCGCATGCTGAGTTGAGGAAAAATTCTGCTTTTGAATTATGTCCCCTTAGCGTAGATTATAGGAGGAAGTATTTCAAATTTATTCTCCACCCTTACAAAAAGGGGCAAATGAAAATATTTCAAGGCACACAAGAAATCATAAAAGTAATGATTTTGAGTTAAAAAATCAAGACTTTCGTCCCATATGTGACGTATTTCAATGGGGACGTACTTTAGATAGGTGTTTGCCATCTCGCAAAAGGCAAACTTATAATATTGAAACTCTATGGGCATGTAGTTCACTGAGGATGGATTTAGGTAGAAACAAAAATAAGATAATTTTCTGTTAAAACGGCTAAGGGCACATATTTTGCAAAAGGTGAATTTTCCCGAATTTTCTGATCAATACTTTTTTGATCAGCAAAACATAGGGCGCTAGAAAATTAAAACTTGGCAATAGTACCTGATGGATAACTGAGTAAAGAAAAAATTATAATTTTATTATATATGGACGATCATAAGTAGCTGACTGACATAAGTAGCTATTCGCATGCTGAATTCAGGAAAAAATTCTACTTTGGTGATACATGCCATAGGGGTCTCTCCTTTTCGGGGAACATATTTTCAAATAGTTCTATTTGCTTCACTCAAACGCAGACACATGGAAAGCTGAAACTTGGCAGGAACGTGACCGCTGACGCACTGAGCTCAAATGTCAAACGTCACAGTTCCAAAATATTTTAGGGGTTCATATTTCTTGGGGACGTAACGTTTTCAATTAATTTTTCGTATTCTACCAAATCGGGCAGAAATAGGAAGTGGCACGCATAACGGACGTGATGTTGATTTAAGGAAAAATTCAACTTTTGTTGTGTTTCCTCAGAGCACAGCTTTTGGATGGGTCGCTTTTCCAAATACACTTTTTCCGCCAGCAAAAAGGGGAAACGTATAAGGCTGAAACTGGGTGGCATGGAGTTCCCTGAGTCTACATTGGAAAGGGGAAACAAAATTTCCTTAAAACCTATTAGGGCACTTTTTAAAATCCCATTTTCCTGATTTTTCCTGATTAAACGAAACAGAGACAGAAAATTTAAAATTTCCTCAGAAGTAACTGATGGCTGAGTACAGGAAAAATCCTATTTTTGCAATATGTCTCCTTAGCGTAGATTATTGGAGGGAAGTATTTCCAAATGAATTCTCCACCTTTACAAAAAGGGACACAAGAAAATATATCAAGTTACGCACACATTGCATCATAGAGGTAATACTTTTGATAAAAATCAAGACCTTCGACCCTATATGTCACGTATTTCAATGCGGACGTAGTTTAAATACGTGTTTCCCATTTCGCCAAAAAATGAATGAATTAATCACTATCCAAGGTAATAGAGCGCCGAAGCCGCGACCATACAAACTCGCTAGTACAAACTACTCGCTAGACTCGCTAGTACTCGCTAGACAAACTCGCTAGTATTAGATACAGGGTGTAACACATGCCAGAAGTTACAGGGATCTATGGCTTAGCCTATGACCCGGAAAGGCATAGCTTCATGGGCTTCACGTGCTGATTAACGCGCAAGGCCTACAAGGTTCTTCCTCTCTGGGCCTTAGGCTAGGCCACATAATTATATGGTTTCTGACATATGATACACCTTGCATATATTCCATCACGAACTGTATATTACATTTTGGCAGGGAACATCTGGCTGAGACTGTTCTTAGTTAATGAATCATGCCAAAAAAATATTTGGTCCTTGAGCAGAAGGCCGCAATTGCGGCCATGGGACGCTAGTATGGGTCTAATACTTCTGTTTAGGCTAATGGCAGAAAAGAGCGATTGGGACTAGGTCTAAGCAAAATGCCGCGATTCACGTACGAAGTGATTCATAGAGTTCATAGCAGGCCTGCTGTGCGCATCGGCGAAGTGAAGGAGCAGGCACCATGGACTCATTGGAGCAGCCCTAATGAATACGGAAGCATGCCCTGTCGAGACCTGCCAATACTTTTACCATGCACAAAGTGGTCCCGCTTCGTCTTCTTGAGCCTATGTTTGCCTTTTACAGTGCTTATCGAATGAATTCACCCCCCTCTTACTAAGGGCTCCTATGACTCGCCATGCTTTTCTATGACGCATCTGCAGATGCTGTAACTGCTAATAACAACTAATCAAGGTAGATGTCGCCCACGTCGCTCTGTCCTGCATTCTAAACGGTTGGGGAAGTGTATTCATCCATTCTGAGTTTTCCATTTAAATCTCACTTAGTCTTCCAACAAAATAAATCGTATTAATTTATGAAAGACTCTTTTGGGGAGGTAATGACATGCCCCTAACTTCTTTCTCTCATTCATTTTAATCACATCAATGATACCCATTGACTAACGAAGGATTTAATAATTTTTAGACTCAGAGGAGAAAAATTACAGTCTATGCTCAAATTTCTTGTATTTCTACATTTGATCAATTTTATTCATTAACTTAGGCATCAACTGGATTCTAGTCCATTTCTTCTTATCTGTTAGTACATCGAACGTAGATCGCCTGCCATATGAGGTTTTCCTAGAAGTGAAAGGGAAAGGAAAGCTTCCGTGAAAACCAAGACTATGGAGAAGGATTCAGAAAGTTAAAAATTAAAATTTCGTTTAACTCATCTTCGGATTTCCGGAATATTGAGAAATGTGAAATTTTTCCAGGTGTGTCTTTTCATGTATGATAAAATTATAAGGTAAAAATAAAAATGCTTCAGAATTATATATCTTACTGATTTCGTGATTGCGTCGATGACAAGGTGACTATATCATTTTTACTTAGGTGCTCTGCCATTCCTCAAGGTTCACTTCACTCTAAATTTTAAAAGGAATGTGGGTTCCTGCTCGTTCTGATCAGCTAAATTATGTCAAGTTTGCGAAGCTCTTTCAAAGTATCATTCTGGTCTATGGTAGTTGGGTACTTTGCTGGGATCGCAAATGTGATTAGTTTAGTTGTTTATGGGATGAAAAACAGGTGTCACTCTCTTCTCATAGCCAGCAGCGCCACCGCCCACTGCAGGGGGGGGGGGGTGAATTCATTCGATAAGCACTGTAACGTTCACTTCGTCCAATGAACTAAGGTTCGTTTGATTTCACGCGTTACACCGGGTGCAAAATAGGTCGATAGTGATGATGCAAGGACGGCGTAACGTTATCACCTTCATAGACCAAGCAATATCAGCAAGGGCAAGCCATGAACTTCAGGCCCTCTCGAAAAATTGGAGATGAAGTAACGGGACGGTTACGAAGCCGTCGACATTGTCGTCGATCCACGAGTAAGCGCTCATGTGCCCTACAGGTGGGATCCCGCCGTTTTCACCCTTGGGAATCACTCTCGTGAGGAATAAGAGGATGGGGTTTCGATGGAGAAAGTGGTCGGAATCCCGATAAATATTTTGGCGGAGATCTCATACCGGTGAGGAAGTTATCCTTACTCCAGAGGTGAAAGAAGACTCCAAGTGTAATACGCGGGTACGTTTTATACGTCCCTGCGGAAAGGTCCGTAATGTACCCCTCAAAGAAGAGAGCGGGAGGTGTGCGTACAATACCTCTCTCTCCCGTTGTTATGCTAAGAATGGCATGGAGAAGTTCTACTGAATGTCTGGGGTTCGGTGGTATAGTGGTAGCACACTCGACCTGCCTTTGTGGCCCTGGATTCTATTCCTGCTTCCTCCGTCTTCTTTTTGTTCTATTGAATATTATGTCATCCAAACTCTTCCTGCATCTCCCGGGCTATTACGATCTCCAGAATAGATCCGACAGTCGCAACGGCCGGAAAAACATTGGGAGCCCGAGAGAGGGAGACGTACACCCAGAGGCAGGCGGAATACTCTATGGGGAGAGCAATCGCGATCGCGCTGAGCTTCTCGGCATCTGGAGGCACAGACAGTCCCTTCGCAGCGCAGGAGGAGCTTGTAATATCTTTTCCAATGCATTCGGCACCTCTTCAGTATCGCCACCGCGGACAAAGTCCTCAGTCATATCAGAGCGGTAGTCGTTCCAAAGGCGTAATGGATCGGCAGGGATACAGTGAATGAGGATCACAGCGCACAACCCACGCAGCGCCCTAGGCATCATGTAAAGTGCGCCGTCAGCCATACATCGGGTCCATTCCCCGTCATCCTCAATGAGTCCCAACTCGCGCGCTGCATCGCGAAAAGTTGGAAACACTACTCCATTCACCGTACGCAAATGTTGGAACGATTGAGCGCCTGGCACACGCAGCAGCAGTAGACGAAGATGGTGTATCTCTACATTTCTTGGAGATACGGACGCAACACGCCTTATCGCCACCCTGAACGCGCTCTTTCCACGAATTGGAAGAGGTCAGTGTGTAGTGATTAGGCATGTCCTGATAATTGATTGCGCGGGCTCGTTCGCTTTGTGCGTTCAGAGGAATCCAAGCGGTCAGTGTTGTGTTTCTAGCACTTTACCCGCCGCCGCAATTCCTCCTCCCGTCCATCCTCAAAAATTACGGGTTCACCTTCTGGCAAGTGAACTGCCAGTGCGACAACATGGCCATCGCCATCGGCAAAGGGAATCATACACTATTCTTTTTTGCAACCGGGACAATCAATTACAGGAGAATCATATTGTCAGCAAATTGAAATTATCCATCAAAAATTGGCCACCGAACAGCCAATATTGATAAACAGACAAGGACCGATTTTGCTGCACGACAATGCTCGACCCCACACGTCACGAACCACCGTGGGAAAATTAACAGAATTGGGCTATGAAATTTTGCAGCATCCACCATACTCACCTGACCTTTCACCAACGGATTATCACCTTTTCCGTCACTTGGAGCTGTTTCTCCGGAATAAAACATTCCGGGACCGAGAGGCTGTAATTGGAGCATTTGAGGAGTTTGTTAATTCAAAAAATGTAGAATTTTATAGAAATGGAATATTTTCCTTAGTATCCCGTTGGGAGAAGACAATTCAAGCTAATGGAGCATATTTTGATTAAATGAAATTTTATTTGTTAAAAATATAGCCTTTTAAATCTCATCTTCAAAATCGGACATTTCATGTGAAACAACCTAATACAATATAGCTGAATTCTATTAGCACTAGTGAAAATAGTGACCAGAAATACAAGAATCAACTGAAGCAAACAGACAAGCCAGTCCTCATTTTTTTTCATAACAGCAAAATATTAAAATACTGGTTGAAATGAACTCACATAACATGAATTCACAGATCATGCAAACAAATTTTGCTGCTATCTGAAATTGTTCCTTTTCTTAATCCAAAAAACTCTCTCCAGTTTATCTCAGTTTCATCAATTGCACTCCAAGTTTTTGACACTGTTTCTCCTTTCTGTTAATCAATACATTAGGTGAGAAATATTGCATTTTTTAATGGAAATATAATACAACATCTTGCTTGTTATCATGCAAGCACTGCATGCTTTCCAAAGTGCCTTTTTTCCCACCTGGATTTTTATATCCCTTTCTTGAAAAGAAATATACTTTCAAAGCTTCTGCTTGAAGATTTGTGTTAACCATGTTTGCCTGTATAACAAATATGTTCACCTGAGGACAAAGAAAAGTGCTGACCTTGAGAGGTACAGGAGGCCTGATTTCCTCCTCTTCTATTAGAGCATTGAGCTCAACAACTGCATTCATTGGAATGTGGAGGTGGAGGTCCTTGATCTTGAGTTCTGCCAGGATACCTCCATGTTGATAAAGGTCCTCCATGATGGACCTCAATTGGGCATGGGATGCCTGAACACTAAGTCGATGTCTGAGGAGATGATAGGCATCAGGGGAAATGGACAGGATTGCATGGTCAAACGGGAGACATGGAGGTCGTAGCTCAGGCGAGATGGTCAGCCGCATCTTCACCTCACATGATGTTAAAGGATCAAATCGCATCTCGCTCCATGCATGACCTCGCAGACGGAATTTCTCCTGAAACTCATCCCATGGCATTGAGGAGGCTTCTTCAAGTAACAGGCTTCCAAGTTGAACCTTCATGACAGATGTGCCTCCTTGACTCTGCAGGGCTAGCTGGACTCTTCCCATGCAGAATGTCACTATGGAGACCTGTGAGAAAGGAATATAGAGGATCCAGTGAGAAGCATGCAAACATGATGCTCCTTGAGCCCTACATTGCTACAAGGAGCATTCAATAAATATATTCTACAGGGCTTCTGAAGGAATATTACATTCAATATCTGAGATGTGACTGAGTATGCAGTGGGAACTATTATTGACTGCCTCTCTTATGTAGAATGTCTCACAACTGTGTGTGTATGTTCATTGATTGGGATGAGGAATCTGAATGCTTTGAGTCTGTCATTGTCAGTCAAAACACACTTTTTTCATAACAACTGAATCTCTTGTTTGACTTTTTTCACCAGTATAGGTGCTTACTTATGATAAGACATCCCTACAGGCCAAACCATTAAGCAGATGGTTTGCAAACACTTTGATGAACATGATATAACTTCACTTGCCTCTTCCTTTCGCTTGAAAAATGGGCTGATGGGAGGATCTTCACTGCCACTGTCCTCAAGAACCTCACTAGCTACCTCCACATCCACAACCACCTTTCCAGTCCTTGGCTTCTCAGGAATATCCAAGAGATTTTCTGTCTCTGCACTTCGATTCTCCACGTCCATGCCAAGAAGGATGAAACTATCACTGTCTGAACTGATTGTGCTAGCTGCATCATCATCTGTTTTGCATAGCTCTTCTGCTGCATTGTCATGCTTGAAAGCTGTGTCTAATGCTCCTCTCAGGTTAGTGAAGCTTTTCCTGATATTTTCCTGAAGGGCAAGGTTGCGATCAGCAAGGAAAGAACTCCTTCGGTCTGCAGTTGACTTCTGACTTGTGTTTGGTGAAGAACGGCTGTCATTAGGAGTAAGAGTGGCCTGACTACTATCCAAAGAATTGCATCGAGAAGTCTGTGAGTCCTGTTCCAGCAACAGGGACACAAGGGGCCCATTCTCTTGAGGGAGTTTAGCCAAACCTTCCAAAGTGTCCTGATGCCGAAAATTTGTTTCTGCATTTGTACATGTATCCAGGTCAGTCATGCTGGAAGTTTCTGGGATCACAGAGTCATCAGTGACTGATGCATTCTTTTCATGACTAGTCACTGGCATAAGTAACGAGACATCCACCTGTGGAAGCAGAACAGCCAAAGAAAACCTTGTTGACTCAGATTGTTTCTGAATTCGCAATGAATCAGCCAGAAGAACTCCTTGAAGTGCAGTCATATCATCCAGCATCCTCATGAGAAAGAGATACTGATAATGATTCAGTTGGCATGTTACCAGACTGGCTATGTGTCCCAGCACATGCAGGTGTGATTTTTGCTCTTCCTGATAAATCCAGAGTTCAAGTGGGAAGGCATCAATAAATGCAATAGGTTTCTGGTTGGTTGCTCGGCTTCCACCAAAATCCGCCCAGCATGGATCCAGGTGGATGTACCACACATCCTTGGCATCAGTCCAAAGGCTGTTACGATGGAGGGAGTCCAGAGGAACTCCCTGTTCATTGTCACCAAGAGGAACTTCTCTGATATTGTCTTCACCTGGCAAAGAGCAAAGGAGAGTAGATACACTCCAATGTGGTTGCTGATAGGGGTTAACCCATTAGCATTTTCAGAGATGAGGAACTTTATCTTACACTGTGCATGTTTAAAGAACTTGGGATGGACAACAACACTGTCAGAGGGAGTGGAAGGAAAGGAGGAGCCAAAGAACATTTCACCCCTCTGGAGGGAATTCAAACACTTCACTAAGTCAGACCGAGGCCCAACCTCAGCTGCTCTGTAATTTGAAATGAGTAAGCGAGATGTGCCAAGGTGGAGGGTTTTGGGTCGATCTGGTTGTCCTGGATGTTCTTCCTCTTCATAAATCACCTGTTCAAAAAATTTAAAATTACCACAAAAAGAAAATGGGCAGCAAAGAACAAAACAAGACAAAGTATGAAGACCTGAGGAAGAATGGCTTCAATTCGGACATCTAGGGCTTCAGATTCCGTTTTGGCGTGTGGTGGAATAGCTGATTGGAGGTTGAGGAGAAAGGCATTGAGCCATGAGAGGGTAAGGGGATCCAAGTTCAATTGCACTGGATTTACATGCATGTACAGCTTGGATGGAGGCACTAGATATAGAGGCATAAGTGAGAAACAACAGCAGATTGCCCTCAATAAAAAGTATGATATGAAAGGAGAGAAGCATACAAGGATAGTCCAGGTTCCCTGGGTAGTAATATTGCAAGAACTCAATGTGAATGCGATGATTTTGCTCAGGAAGTTGTGCATTTTCTTTGTTGCCTGAGAGGAATGAAAAATGAAACCACAGATATTGCATATGCATAATGATCAACATTCATGGAGTAAAGTGCAGAGAAACTAATACATGATGTACACTACAGCATCACACCAGCCAAAGCAGTGAGGGTGATCTGGCCTACAACCCATGCAAACTATCTCACTGTCTGGCCCATGATGCATGAACCAAACACTATGCAGTCACACTATGAAACTACACACAGGGTTACTGAAGGTGCGTAACAGAGAAAAACAACCCAACGTTCACACCTTTTCTCCTCATTTTACTCCTCTTCCAGTGCAAGTTACAGCCTGCTTGCCAAAAGGAAACAGGACCACCATGATAGGATGGGATAAAAGAAAGAAGAAGAAAGACCATGAGGAAGAAAGTGCTGATACTGCTACAGAACCGTTAGAAGTAGAAGAGATGGGAAGAAAATGTCTAGTTTGAAAGTAATATCAACATATGCCCACCTTGAAGAAATTCTTTGACACTCTTTCGGTGAGTAGTGGTGACCTTGAACACAGAGAATTCTGTGATTCGCAGGACTAGGCAGGAGGCCATAAGTCTCCTTAAAAGGGCAACAGGAGGTGGAGGTCCCTTCCCACTCCCTCTCTCCATCCCAGGCTGTAGTCTCTCCTGAAAAATAAAACTGTTAATTGACAACCAAAACAAACACCTCACAGACATATCACAAGCACCCACCTTATCAAGGGTGCCTTGGTCTTTGTCTGTAACAGGGGCTGTCCTTGCCAAGGGAGCATGTTTCCGATTTCCCACTATCAGGTCAGTCAGTTGATTCCGAAAAGAAATCAGTTCACTCTCCTGCCACTGATTAGGATGTGAGGAAGAATACCTGACCCAGTGCTTGCGGTCCACACCCGACAGATGGTATGGGTAGTAGTCCAACTGAAGTTTAGTAAGGCAAATTTGCAGAGCACCACCTTCTTTCAGGTCTGGGTGGGAGGACCTGCCTTCTGTATAAATAAACAGATCATCATGAAAAATGTTGTCATAAAAGATACTTGCATGATCACATTAGGGTCTTGCACACAGGAACTCACCACCCGGATCATCACAGAAATGGAGATCAAGACGATCAGAATACAAGTGGTACGATGTTTCAATGACATCAAAGCGAGTAAACGCACACGATCCTCGGGAAGTTCTCTTTGTCGCCTGAGGCAGCATCATTGCTGAAGAAGACTACCAGAAAGGAAAGGAATATACATTCATGACAGGTGCAGTTACTCTCTCAGCTGTGAAGAAAACAGGAAAAGGTGGATACTGGAAAGAATCCCTTCACAATATCATACCTCCAATTTTCTAATGGCCTTAATTTCTTTGGCTTGCTCCTGAGCTTTTGTGACTAGATGAGACAAGGAGTCAAGGAAGTGCTGCACTGCCTTCAGTTGGGAATCCGTCAGGACATACAAGAGGTCATCCATGAGTAGCACCAGCCGACAACCCAACACTGAGCAATCTATAACAGATATTTATTGGATATGAGTAGAAAGGTATTCAAATGAGATTTTCTAAAGAACAACCCAAGAGAAAGCAATGTAGGAGAGAAGAAATTATTTCCTTTGTACACTTAACAGAATGAAAATGGTATTTAGAGTAGTTCAAATCACCTAAGATTACCTACCACTAAGCTTTTTCTTGAGTGTGATTCGTGCCCTTGCTTGACTGGTGATCAAGCGCAGGGGAGCCAGGTTCAGATTTTGATTAGACCTTGCCTCTATCTTCATTGTTTGCCACTGGAGTTCCTTGAAAATGAGTATTTCTCCCCGAGTGACATCTTTGATTCGAGTCCAGCGGAGATCATTCTTCTGCCAGGTTGGCATTCGTGATTCCAGGTCCACACGGGTTAGCTGCATGATATGACATCTTGTCTGTAATAAATCTTCAAACTTTCCATAATAAAGAGCTGATGGGGGAATGTTTCTCACCTGGATAGTTGCTAGGAAGGCATTACTCCTTAGGCAGAGGTTCACATTGTTAATCCTCACTGAAGCTCCATCCAGCACCCTATCAGCAAAGCCATAACTTCCTCCACTACTATATGATGGGATGAATGTTCGGGACAGAGTTCGCAAGTCAGCTGATGTCTCCAACTCTATTTCAACCTCATCCAGAAACTGCGAGAAAGCAGATTCACATTCCAACAAAAAATCCAGAGAATCCTATGCTCATGATGGATTTCTTGCAGTCATGCACAAAACCAACTCAAAGAAAGTTGAATCATTATTGAAGTTATTATGATGCCTAATTGCCCATAAGCTGATCACTGATAGGAGAAAAAATATGAGCAACATCAAGCAAAGGACTGAAGAAATTTGGTAAGTAAAACTGAATAAAAATGAACCCAACAAGTGAAAATTTTCCATTTGAACTGTGTGGAGAAAGATACAAATTCATTCCAGATTTTAAAGATATATAACATCTTGAAATAATAAAAAAATTGGAAAAAGAATCTTTAAAAAGACTAGCAATAGACTATACATCCATCACTGAGTAATAAGGGAAGCTTCATCTGCATAATTTTAAATAGGCCTACTTGGTTTAAAGTTCACTAAGGGACTACAAAGCTACCAGAGATAAAGGAGCTACTCCCTTGCTAAGGATATGAAGATAAATATAAGTTTTACCAAAGCCAAAGTTGCCAAGCAGTAGAGTGGTCTCCAACCAGCCTGGAAGGAACTCTTGAAAAGCTTATAATTTCTCCAATAATCTTTTTTAGCACATACAAACATGTACTCATCCATCACAATGAAATTTAAACCAGAATTAAATGGAACTAGAACCTCCTTTATTTTATTCCTTGTTCCCAACATATGACATATTGAAGGAGAACTGATATGATCAACAAACCAGTTGGATAGGCATCTTCTTGAGATGAGCCCAGGGAATCTTGGCTGCAACCCGGTTGCACTTTGCACGGGTCACATTCATCCATGTTGGCAAAGAAAGCAATTCTGTCAGTACTGCCTCATTCAATTCCAAGTTTGTCACTTCCCCTTCTCCCTTGAGGGTGCTTATGGAAATCTGGTCAATGGATAGGTTTTTTGTGAACCTGGAGAAGTATGAAACATACATTTTATATCCTTAGAGAACCAAATAAAATAAATCATAAATAAACCTCAGAACACTAACCCACAACAAGATAGGCTTGACCTATGCCTGTACCTCTGAACTAAGGGTTAAATGTGGATTCCAAAGCATATCACATCATGCCCAGAATCAATGTTCAATTGAAACAACCTACAGATGTCTGTATTACTGGATTTTGTCTACAGGGTGCGTAAGAAGTTCTGTTACAAACGTTTCTTTGCCAAAAACAACCAAGGCAACAAGAACGACAACTTCAAGTGATAATTTATTTAGTACAAAGTGTCAGTCAATGTTAGGAACCATAGCTACTCGAAATGTCCGCCACGTTTGGAAATGCAAGCCTTCAATCGAGGGCGGAAAGCGCGTACTGCAGCACGCAGCTGATGCTGTGGAATATTCTTCCATTCTCGGACCAAAGACTTCTTAAGGGCTTCGATGTTGCGGTGGGCACTAGCCCCAACTCGTCTCCAAAATGGACCAAATAGAAAAATCCAGAGGGTTCAGGTCAGGGGAGCTGGGAGGCCATTGGTCCTTCGTAATGAAGTCCGAGATTTCATGATGAAGCCATGCTTGGGAAATGTTGGAAGTGTGTGCTGGCGCACCGTCTTGCTGAAATGTCCAAGCCTGGTTGCTGAACATGGTTTGACCCGTATGTTTCACTACTGGGACTAGAATGAGATCTTTGTACATTGTACTGTTTATCTTGACCCCTTCAGGAACGAAAACCAGATTGGTGCGACTGTTGGCAGACACCTGCCCAAACCATAACAGACTGGGGGTGTTGTGAATGAGGCACGATTAGCATATCGCCCGAGACATCTGAGATCCGTGGTGCGAGAATCCGATCATTTTGTCGATTGGAGACGGCCTGGATGGTGAACAATTTTTCATCTGAAAACAGGATTTTGTCCACATCATCAGCCGTGAACCGCTGCAGCAGGGCCTTGCTTCGTTGAAGTCGCAACTGCCTTGTGCGAGGTGGCAGCAGTTGCGCATGCTTGCGTTTGAGAGATTTCAGATGAAGATGTTTCTTGACAATAGTTCTCATGGATCCCTCTGATATGTGCATTTCCCTGGCCATCTTCCTCATGGAACGCCTGGGGTTCCGTTGAATTCGGAGAGCCACCTTTTTCACCATCTCTGGAGCCGTAGCAGACATTGGGCGTCCACTTCTCTCACGATCCTGGATAGAGTGGGTCTGCTGATATCGTTTAATGGTGCGATGAATGAACATACGATTCGTGCCTTGGCCTGAGAGGTCTTTGAATATCTCTGGTGGTGTTTTTCCGCTGAGATGAAGCTCAATGATGGCTGCACGTTGTGCATTCATTTTGGCACAAAAAATGATAGGAACTGATGAGACCATTGCTTCATCTGCAACTTTAAGCTACATGTCCATACAAGTCACACGCCCATAGGCTTGTAAAAGATTCTACCCGGGAGACGTTCTATGTGAGTCCAAAGTTTGTAACAGAACTTCTTACGTACCCTGTAGAGAACTCCTTCCAGTCTTCTCAACTGACTCATCAATAGCACATTCAAAAGCTAATTATTTGCATACAGTTCATGTCTTTGTAAAAATTTTTTGGAGCTGATCTTTGATTCAACTCACATGATGTATATATGTTGATGTTTTGATGTCAATTGAACAATAGAGGTCAACATTTTTTACAGAGGCAAAGTTAGATGCAAATACAACTGTAGTCTCCATGTAGCTGCAGCCAGTGTAAGGCCATGCCAACTGCATGGAGACTGTTGCACTTAATCTTCACAGAGCATCTCATTAATCTTTCCATTTGCACACAGAAATAGTCTATCTCATCACCCATGATTCACCTGGGTAGGACCTTGGGGGCAATTCTCACACGCACTCAACCATGATTGTGTTGATTCATTAAAGAAATGTTTTTATTCCTCTAGCACTCTCCATTCAGTAGCCAAAGTCTAAGGTCACCATCTAAACACCCCATGCAACCCAAGGGCTATCAAATAGTAAATAAGGGTAACATTTAGAGAACAAGCAAATAAAAAATAATCAAAATATTCTAAAGCAATACATAAGTCATGAATTGTGAGTACCATCCATCTCTGGTCTAACCATGTGATCCTCACTGGCAAATCACTAAATTTAGTTTAATTTAGAAAAACTACATCAGCAGCAGACTGTGAAGCTAAATGTGAAGGAGTTAGTGTCCCCTTCCCTGGGGATACTGGTTACCTTCATATGTCTCGCACATCCTACTACCCCAAAAACATGTTGTTGAAATAACTCCTTGATAGCCTACAGGCATACTTCTTGTTACAGACTCTTCCCCAAATGTAGTTTTCACATTTCCCAATCCAGACATCTACCATACCTATCTCTCCATTTTGAGCCATGACCAAGAGTGAGGCTCATAAAAGTGTAGCTTGCTACTCTGCATCATGCATAGGAAATTATTCCTCCTATTTTTTGGGTGAGGACACCCCCTAGATGGGGGAAGGGGGGTGTACAAAAGACATACAATTGCTAAAGTGACTGCAACTACATTCTTGATTTTTTTTTCCTCTTGCTTCAGCTGGTAAATATTTTTCCTGGACTTCTATATCTTTCAATACCACTTCTACTTGCATCAGTGACATTAAACCTTTACTGTTTCAAGGATACACTAAAATAAGATACTCATCTAATCTCTGATATTCATTCCCAGAACACAAAAAGCTTAATAGTGAAAATGGGCATTTATGTACTTTTTTCCATTCACCTCTTGCCATTGCAGCTGTTTCCTTATCCTCTGCTACTTACGTGACATATGAGCATGGTACCTTAGTCAATATTGACTCAATTCAAACTTGGATCTTGTGTGAGCGATTGATTAAATTTTAGACATCAAGGTTAAGCCAATTAGGCAGTACTTAACACTCAACGCCAGTGCAAACGGGGTTGTCTCAAGTCCTCACTGGTCGGGAGGGTACTCCGGAATAATAAAAAATGTAACATAAAACCGTTGACCTAGCGATTCTTCGTTTCATTGCTGTATATCTAAACTTAAGCCTATCCAAGCATTTACCGCGGAAACTGTTAGTACGAATCGAAGGCGAGCGTAAAAGCGCTGGACGTAAAAGAACTTACTTGGAGAGATGTTTTAAGATCTGATTCTTGATTAAACTGGCCATCTGGGAAGGTCCTCAAGAGACAGGAGAATGAACGGGAGACAACGGGGCCGCCATGATGGTCCTATCGATTGCGCGTGCGCCTAGCGATCGCTACACACGTCTCCTTCCCACACATCCCCTAATAAGTTCTCATTGGGTCTTCTAATTGAGGCCGGATAATGGCGAGATCCTATTCTCTCTCCGTGCATCACGTAGGAGTACAGTGAATGGGTATCTTCACCTTGCCAATACGAAAAGCCTCTCCCCCCGTGCAATGAATTTTTAATTGGTAATAGTACCCGAGTTCTTGATCCCATGGAATATGAATCTAAGCTTTTCTCTTATACGTTATTTATTGAGGTTTAATCACTTTCCTTAGCCCACTCATAAAGGTCAGATGGAAGCATTTGCCACTAGAAATGATTTATTCAGGAGAGAGACCATGGAGGAAAAATGCAGGATTCAAGCGGTGGTTGCTCTGATCTGTAGCAATAATTGATTGTCAATGGAGACAGGGTAGGCCCTGGTCGCCACTGCCTCCATTGCCGAGCTACTGCCGCTACAGCTCAGAACCGACACTGGATTCACACAATAAAAGCTTTTAAGTCAACCACTTGCAGGATCACTACCTTTGACAAGACCCCCAGAGGAGTCTCCAACTTCTTCCTCATCCAGTTCTTCTTCAGCTTCCATCTCAAACAGTCTGATGACCTTTCTATCTTCAGAAAGAACAGATGCCACCTTCCTAGAGCCACTGACAGCAATGTATCCCGCCTTTGTGTGCTCCAGTCTTTCATATGAACCATTTAGATTCAGGAGGTGAAGCTTGAGTGTGTCTCTCTGACTAAGGAAATCATCATTTTGTTGCTGGATCTCCAGACCTGAAGAAATGCTTCCCCAAGGCAACTGAATCATAATTGGGGTGGCATTTGGAACATCTTGAATGAGGAAAGACACTGTTTCTTCATTATAGAATTGGAAATCCAGGAATACAAAGTCCTCATTCCTGAACTTAATGCAAGCTGCTTCCACATTTGAATTTTTGTTGATCAGCAGCGCAAGCACGGATGAAGCTGGCCTTTTCTCATGAAAGATCAATAGGTATGTTGCATCCCCCTTCATACAGTGAGACACTCTCAAATTTACATCTTCAATCTCAGATGTCAACTGTTGACTCCACTGCACTCTCACGGAGCTTCCCAGGACTTCAGGTGGCTGGACTAAAAAAGCATCTTTGATCGCTGCAGTAAGGGCCTTGTGTTCTTGGATCAAGGACTTGCTTTCATGCTTAGGAATGATTAGCCCCGAGTCTTTAAGCCAAGGATTTTCTTCCAGGAACTTGAGCCACTGATTATTTTTGCTCTGTTTTGACATTGGATGTGGGAGGTCCTCATCCTTGAGATATTGTCCAACTTTCTCCAATGTGAAGTGCTTCCTGTCCTCAGTGTCAAGATTTTCCACAATAAAGTCAGCAATGAAACGTAGTTCCATTTCTCCAATGGATTCTGTTGCGGAGGACTCATCTGAAAGACGTAGGATGACAGCATGAAGCCACCGGAAGCAGGTGGCAAAGGAGGTCTTATAGTAATCAGTCACTTGTTGTGCCTCCATAGTCTTGTAACAGAGGGAACCTGCTGCAAGCATGACATGATTAATTATTTCTGCCTTTAATCCAAGGAAGCCAAATCGTCGTGAGCAAGCTGCCATGCCCAATACATCAGCAAGGTGGTATGAAATACACTTAATCACAGGTTGGAGGTGTTTTGCAAACAGCTTTTGGATGTTGGTATAACTGAGATTCACTGACTGACTAAGCTTCTTGAGCCCTTTTTCAGTGATATCATGAACAAGAAACTTTAGAAGCTCATCTGACACAGTGCCCAACATGAGGAGTTCAAGGAAGTCTGCTGCTACTGTTCCTGGAGGAACACGTGATGCATAAGCAGCCAGCTTTGAGTCCATCTCAATGAGAATGTTTTGCCATGATTCTGTGATTCCTTCAATGGCTAGGGCAAGGTACTCCATAAGAGCTGAGATCTGTCCATACTTTTGGGCAACAACCATTACTTCCTGATGTCTTAAGCCCAGTTCACCAGTGTCAAGGATGATCTGAGACAGTCTGTCACTCTCTGACACAGTGACAAGGAGATGGGAAAGGGAGTCTGATAAGACAGAATGGATGATGTGGCAAGAATTTCCTGTCAAAATCTTGAGGTCAATTTGTGCAATAGGAAGCACACCCAAGGCAATTAGTGAGATTGTTCCCAAACTTGTTCCCACACACAACACATTCATAGTCTCCTGTGATTTGATTCCCTTAGGATCATTAGGGTTTCGTTCCCAGGAGCTCTTCACAGATCCAAAACTCTCTGACAGCAAGGGCAACTTTGGCAAGTATTCACCAGAGTCATCCTGCAAGGAATAAATTTGACATTACTACAATAACCACCAACTAATTTGCAATAAATGTTTTCATAAGCCAAAAGTCATAATGTCCAGGAAGTTCCATGTGACCTGTATATCTCTCTTTAATATCTCCTTCAATTATTAATATTTTCACATGTTGGTTGCATTTGCTCAAGAGAAGTGCCCAGATGGGCACCTCTAGAGTATAAGGTTTGGATTGAATGTAAGTCAAACTGCAAAAGACATTTGCAACTTATTTTTTGCCCTCAAAGGAAAACACATCTCAGTGAGGATACATACCAACAGGATTTGTTCTACAGCATGATGAAGTTTCACCTAAATCATCAAACATAAATGGCTTGAGCTTAAAGTGAATCTAATTGCAAATATTCAGCTGGTCTAATGGACCCTGATAAAGAACACACTGATGTTGGGGCAAACTGCTGGCACCAATCAACAATCAGTAACTAAGAAATGTAAATGGCACATCTTTCCAGATCAGGATCACTATAATCCTTTGCCAGTTCAATTAATAACAAAAAAGACTTTTTATAATTTTCAAACTTTTTAAAATTAAATATTTAGAAAACTGACCTTGAAAAATGTGCATGGTGTGGCAAGGGGGCCAACAGTCCATGTCAAGGAAGAGATCTCTCCTTGGAAGTTGAAGCGTTCCATCAAGTCTGCTTTCTCCACTTCCAGCAGAGTCACCATACCTGTAGACACAAATTAGTCACAGACCCCAAGTCTTACCAACCTACCTTGGTAACCACATCCAATGTAGCATATGAGAATGTGATGGTCACCGTTCTGATAGCCAACAGCAAGAATCTTTCCATCTGGGCGCCAGCAGAAGGAAGATACCAATATGCCCACATCTGGAGGGGAGCTCACCCACACTTTTTGCCACGACAGGCGATGCAACAAAACTTCTCCTGTACAGAGGATGTTTTCAAATGTTTATTTGGTGGAAGCAGTGGGAGGAATAAAGTTGGAACTAGTCGAAACCTTTGGTGTTGGACAAGGCAATAAGATCCATTTTGGGAGACCAAAGCATGTTGGTAATATTCGAAGGGACATGTCTTTGCTCCAACTGCCGCATGATGTGCAGATGGGTCACCTTGCTGCTGTTTCCTTTCTCCTCTGCTTCTTCCATAGCTGCCTCTTCCCTTTGACCAAAATGGCTTTCACATGTATGAATGCATTCAGTTCTAATATGGTTGGAATAATATGTATATCACCACCTTTTTCAAACAGTGATTGGATGCACCCAGTCATCTGGAAACCAGAGACCTGTTTTCAACCATTTTGGCAGAAAATGAAATCTCAAACCTTAGTTCTAGGGAGACAACTTCCCCAATGAATTCAATCTATGGTGGTGGCATGAAACTCCTGAACATTCTTCATAATTACATAACATTATTTTATCAATACATTCACTTTTGGTTTTGAGATATGAAAATTCATCAAATGATCACAATTGTCAGCATGAGTTAGTGTGTTCCCTTGAATTTGCATCAACAGCACGCAGGACTTCACGCATTTGTTCAGCCTCATCTTTCAGGCTCTCAGCCTTCTCCATCAATAGCACCTGATGAAATTAAACACAGGTCACTGATAGGGCAAAACATAAGGGAATTACTGGGAAAGGAGGATATGGACACCTTCGCAGATGTGATGATTTGTTGAGCAGTCTTTCGACTCAGGTGCTCTATGTCTCTGACAAGGTTCTGAATTCCAGCTTTGGCCACATCCTCCAAACTGCGATAGCCAGCCTGATACAGTTGTCTAGCTCGACCCTATTGAGTGAATAATGTGTGTCAGCATCTGGCATAAAGCATCAATGTTAAATTTTTCAGAAATACCCACAACCAGACATCAAACACCCTCACCTTTTTGACAGCAGGTAGTTCCATGAGAGGTAAGAGCTCAGCAGTGACACAATATGCTAATCGTTCTGTGAATGGCATAAGAAGCTGCTTCAAGGCCCACAACTCTTCCAGTTCCTTGATCAGAAAGCATTCTTCTGAGTCACAGTGAGGGAGAACATGTAACATGATCATTCAACACCTTCCTACCTCAACAAAGTGCAGAACATTTGAGGCAAATGAAGATGCCGATGTTAGGAGATTCTGAACCAGCCCTCTATGCATCATGTAGCGGTCTGCTACATACCAAATTGGATGCTGGTTCCACATGTCATAGAGGATAAGAGCAACATAGAACCTCCTCATTGTTGTGTCCATAGTCCCCTTAGTCATAAGACGGACAATGGCCGCCTCATTGATTCCAACAATTTGTGCAACTCTCAGGTCTGCCTCTTGCAGACTCATGTACTGCAATTAGAAAGACAACACAATAAAAATATCACAATCCATTATGAAAGAAGAAATGCCAAACTTGGCGAAGTTGACTGCATGCTAGGGTGAATGATTTCATGAATATATGGAAACTTCTAAGATATAATAAATAAGTGTAATAAACATACAGTGTAAGAAATAAATCTCAACTATTCCTTTCACACAATACAAACAAAGCCTTTCCAAAGATACTGAATGGAATATTGTACGTTTTGCATAAGCCAAGAGAGGAAGATGTATATGCTTGCTTGAGCCTGTCCTCTAAAAACAAGGAAGTGAGAGGCCAGGAGGAAAGGGCATTAAATTTTTTTCTAGGTGCACAATGTGGCTGATATCCTTTGCTCCTCAGATACCAACTTCACAACATTAGCACCACATTCCTTTATTTCATGAATGTAATAACTGGATCAAATTCTCTCTCCTGCCCAACTTGCATATCTCAGGACAGTTGCAAATATGATCTGGGTTCTAAATTGGAAGGTGAAGATCAGATATTTCACATGAGTATTTGCAAGTTCTCTTTTGAAATAAGATGATCTCTTGGGACCTTTTTGGAGTAGATGGAAGCCACAGGTTCAATGAGATCAACATAATCATAAGGAGTGACTAGATAGAGGAGATGCAGGGCTGTGTCCAGGACCAGAGTCTCCACTCCTTTACATAAATCTTGATAGAGTACCTTGGCTCGACTCAGAGGAACACAACCTGAAGAATATAATTGACATGAAAATCATGAAGCAGTTCCACTATGCAGTCAGAGGATCAGTTCAAAATCAACCTCTAATTGCAGCTTTTCCCAGTCGACTGATCCTAAGATCTTCTTGGTTTGGTTTATGGTTCTCCTTGTCAATCACCTGCAGATCTTTTTGATTTCCCATCATTTCACCTTCCCCATCTTTCTTGATTGTCAGAAGGCCCTGCTCAGCCATCCAGCACAAACATTCCTTAGCTTCTTTGAAGACATCTGCTTTCAGTTCTTCTGCCTTTTTGAGACAGGAAGATCATGTAGTGCAAAGTACTTGCAACAGGTAACTAAGAGGAACTCAACTGACCTGTATGGCATATAGAGTCTTAGCCACACACATTTCAATATTTTTCAAGTTGTTGGCAATATTCAGGGCAATAATGGAAAGCACAAAGGTGCATAAGCCCTGACCATCCTCCTTCCCAAGGGAACTTAGAGTGCAATCAACTGGTCCACTTATAAGATTTGCCACCTAAGCAAAAGAAGGCAAACTTAAATACTGAGCATTCAATTCAGAGACTCAAAATTTACACAAACTTGATAAATGATACACCTGCAAAGCCTCCTTGGGACTGCACATGAGAAAACTCTCTCCTGTGGAATCCAAACCAGCCCTTCCTGCACGGCCAGACATCTGTTTATACTGTGTCCTTGAGATGAAATCTTTCCCAACATAGGGAGAACGGAGAATGACCTATGGCAGAAAAATGGAAAGCTGTCAAATGGTATCATAAAGTATCAATAGAACTAGGATTTAAAAAAGAGAATGCCTACACGTCTTGCAGGAAGATTAACCCCAGCAGCAAGGGTAGACGTGCAGCAAATCACACATAATGTCCCATCCAAATAAGCTTCCTCAATCAGCCTACGCTCATCTGTCGTCAGGCCTAGTTGATCGGATGTTTGAGACTGTCTTCAATCATAAACTGGTGGTACAAATCACAGATGATGCTCCAAATTACCTGAATGATGATATGCAATTCCAAATGGAATAGTCTTCTTCAATACAGGACAGATGAGACCAGCATTCTCATTTTTCAATCCTTTGAGAAGGATGCCTCTCGCATCTTTATTGATCTCTTGCATTGCACTGCAGAAAGAGAACAAGAAACAAAAATCCTCTAATATCTCCTCCTATGTCAATTGAGGACACTATACAAATTCTTACATGGGTAAGATCTTGCAGAGAAGCTGGGCCACATTCTCACAGTTCTTCTTTGTAGGACAGAAGATAAGGCAAGAATGGTCTGGAATAACTTCCATTACAAGGGCGCCAACAAGATCTGGATCAAGTGACTGCTCCTTCTTTCCATACTGTGAAATAGGAGGATAAATTGAATACTGATAAAATCAAGTATTGGTTTTCTACCATCAGGATTTAGGTAATCATGTATATCCATACCGGAGGACAAATTTGGCGTAAAAGACACAATGGCATTGCTTCATTTGTAACTTTTTCATAGATGCCATTGTCCATCTTGATGAACTCCTTTAACTCCACTGGTCGAAAATGACATGTGTACAAATCTGCATCAAGAAACTGCTTAATCTGCTGCAAGTTGCTGATAGTGGCACTCATTCCTATAATCTGAATGATGCCTTTGGGGAAAAATTCAAGTCAATACACAGCAGAAACCCTAAAAATTAAAAGATGTGACATATCATTTGACCTTTGCCTGCAAGGTGAAGCTTGGTGATGAGGTTTTCCAATAATGCTCCTCGTGAACCTTCCCCAAGCATATGGACCTCATCCACTACAACTAGGCCTAATTCTTCCAGTCTTCCAGCCTCCAAGAGTGTGTTTACGACTCCCTGAGCTTTTTCAATGGTTGCAATATATAGGCTTTGCTTGTTCCTTCTCTTTTTTGGTGGAAAGCCTCCTTTTCCCCCAGCATATTCCTCAATGAGGAAGTCGAGTGCCAAGGCAAAAGGTGCCATTGCTCTCACCTGCATTGGGAAAGAATCTTATGTGCATGATGAAGCTGACAGAGGCTGACAGTAAAATGCCAAAATGGAAATTAAGAAACAATCCCAAAATAATCACTATAGCACTTACAATGAAAGATTAACTACTATTTCACATTCTTGCATTTCACCCATGCCAATATCAAAATCATGCTTCTGCAATAATGTTTACGGTCATTATAATCATGCTCCCCCAAAAATGTCCTATAATAAGTGATACCTTTTCTTGGACAATGGAGACATATGGCAAAACAAGCATGGCATTTTTCTTCTGTGACAGGATTTGTTTTAAGAGTAGGATCTCTGCCACTAGTGTCTTGCCTCCACTAGTGGGAAGGCAGAGGAGTAAGTTTCTGCCAGATTGCACTCCTGGCATGTTAAGGCACTCCTTCTGCCAATCTGAAATGAGAATTGGTACAAGTATCTGCATGCTTAGCATGATAAGATAATGGTCAATGATGTGCAACATACCATACAGTTCTGTGATTCCTCTTTGGTCTTTTAGCACTTGGCCGACATGTTTGGGAAGACCACAGAAACTGTCAGGAAGGGTGACAGGTGGTATGGAACCTTCTGGAATGCCACTCAAATGTAGATCACTTAATTTAAAAATGCATAAAAACCATTAGTTTTATTTGATAGCCTTTCCTCTAGTTTCAGTAAGATATCCTTACCTTAGAACTGTGTCATCAAGTCCAGCAGTGCTGTTCCTAAGCAGAGATCTCCTGATTCTATCACCAATTTGTCCTGCTTGAAAGAAGGAATTCTGACTGTCCTGTGTTTTTGTGGACTCACGACTTGACACAGGGCTGCACATGGGAAAAAGGCCTATTCCACTGTCATGACACTGTGACTTCATATCCACAAGATTATGTTCAGCATCAACACCATCCAAGTCCAAGGAACTGAGAAAAGAACTATCCAGTGCCAGGAGCATTTCTGTGCAAGGGCTTTGAACTTCATTGACCTTTCCTTGTTCAATAGCCATGAAACCAGTACCATTCACATGATCATTAAAATAAGGTGACACAGCAATTCTCTTGGACTTCCTTCTTGGAGTGAAACCTTCTTCTTTCAGAATGTTGGGGTTATCTGCCATGAGCTTAATGGTCAATTGGGGCTTTGCCCGTTTCCTCTTGGACACAGATTCTGCATGTGATTCAGTCCCATTATGGGTTGATGTCTTGGATTTCCTCGTTACTCTTCTTCCTATCACAGGACTGAGCTTGCCTCGTGATGTTGCAGGGCAGGGTGGTCCCATTATTCAGGATTCAAGCTTTATCAACTGGCCTTCTTGTCCTGCTCACTGCTCAAGCTTGGAAATCAGCCAACTTTTAAAGTGATTCTTTGACAAATATTTACACAAGGATAAGCTAACTTCATTGCAAAGAGGGAATAGACACAATCCTGTAAGGGATCCATTATAGACCTTGAAGATGGTCACAGGCCTGAACACCTTTACAAAATAAGAAAAAAACTCTTCTATACAAAGGCCTAAAATTCATATAGCAATATTTAATTTAATGTTCAGTCTAAGCTTAAATGGGTACTTTACAGGTTAATCTAAATTCATGAATATAACGGTAAGTCTACCATAGGAACAAACCAAGGCTCAAGCTCAACATGCGTTTTTTCAGAGGAAATCTTTGTGAAGAGGACTTAGTCTAGAACAGGCTAAGGCATATTCATAGGTCTAGTATGACACTAAATTCACATTTGCCAGATCTTCGTAATACTCACTAGCCCTTTTATATTGCTTATCAATATTAAGAGTCCGTGCTATTGTCATAATTGTGGATGCATTCCATGTTAGTAAAGCTGAGGCCTATAGACCCTGGCCTGAAGCCCTACACAGATATAGCACAGCTGCGTCTATCATTCGGTGCTCATCATGTGAATTCTCTTCCCCCTCACTATGAGCTCATATGCTATCCCGACACAAGAGAGGATACTGGAACTACTTGCACTTATATACACTGGCAATAGAGCAATCATTGACATATAGCTCAAGTCGCTATCATCCTCAGCAGTCAATAGCTCAAACTTGAGGCGGCCACCTGTTCCGCATTTTACAAGACACTGGCATATCTACTGGACTGTACTCCAGAATGAAGGAAAGGTGGCAGGCCTACTCATACTCAATCATCACCTTGGATCAAATCATGTGCCACTCTGCATTTAGTGCGGCGACATACTGGACAGGGTTGTCAGACTTTATTTAGGTGAAAATGTTGGAAACAGTAGTATGTCCAGGAAATCCCAATGGGGGGGTTGACATATGAGAAATTGGTAACCCACCCTGCATTTATGGCCAAATGTAAAAAAATGTTGAGAATCGAACCTGAAAATCTATCCCAAGGGGGGGTTATGACCCCCCCTAAGCTCCTCATTGGGCCCGCTAGCGGTCAGAAACATTAAATGGTAAGTAACGAAGTAACGTTAAGTAACCAAGTGCCCATCGTTGACCCTGACCTTGATTCAAAGAAGTGCCTATAACTTCTGAACTAAGATGGCCTCAGACTTGAAAATTCACTAAAATATATCTGGTACATACTGAATCTCCGGGGAAAGTTGAATATGAAGATATGATTCTCAAAACTTTTGGAGTGCCCCACGTACTACAACTCTACCTTATTCTAACACCCTTTTAAATTCCCATTTTTTACTGTTAGATCTAGAGCATAGGTGTCAAGCTCAAATCGGTCGGCGGGCCGCATTACTTACCCTGCAGATGTCTGCGGGCCACACCCATAATTTTTCATTGAAATTTGTGCTGAAAGTCAATCCAAGTGGAAATTTCACGAACCGACGGCGGGCTGGATGAACCACCTCCGCGGGCCGGATCCGGCCCGCGGGCCGTATGTAGAGGATCCCTAATCTAGAGGATCTGGGTACTTTCCTTCTTCCCTAACTCATTGACGTACTGAGTATATCCATGTCTATCCCTGTATACGACCACCTGCTCTCCTCAAAAGTCTCATTCCCCTGTTTACGCCCTATGGAACCTGGATCTCAGTTTCCTCTATGACTACGGAGTCCATCCTGGTATGCGGCCTCATGACTCTTTCCAGACTTGGGTCAATTACGATGGCATTGTAATTGGTTATGAATATGTTGAAACTACATGAATCAATCAATATACATTACGATCTCGTTTAATTATTATAATCCAAAATTTTATATTATGATCATCAGAACAATTGATAAATAAATTGTCAAATTGCGACTTAAAATATAACCAAAATTAAAACTTGCAGATTTCAATCATCATAAAAAAAATGTAAGCATGTTGTGGCCGCAGCAAAATAAAATTGAGAAATAATCGAAGTTACTGACCAAAATGGGAGTATAACGAAGAAATGGACAGCGGTAGTTGAATCCGTTTCAAGAATACATTTCATTTTCAGAATTTGCTGATACCTCCAAAGTCCTCACTAATGTATTTTTCAATTATGAAAGAGTGAAAAAAAGAATCAGTGCCATGAAATAGTCTTAGCGTCCAAGTTTACGATCCAAGTTTTTAGCTACAGTTTTAAAAAGTAAATTTTATAGGACCCTAATGGTCACATACAATTTATTGCTATCCACTTCAAAGTAACTCACGATGCGTCGATCTTTACTAATGTCGTTGTAACTGCTGAAAGCATATTTTCAGTCCATACTTTGCAAGCTCTCGGAGTATTGCTGTTGTGACTTATTTCCTTTCGTCAAAATCGTCAAAGCGATGTTTATTCTAGATAGGGAAGTGGGATGAAGTGACATCATGCCAGATTAGTTCATGTAAGAATTGGACACAGTTAGCTATTGGTTGTAGGCAGGCGCTTCAGCGCTTCCAATTAGAACTGTCCGTTTACCCCCTTGCTTCACGTTTGACCCAAAACTCAATGTTTGCATGTCGCTCATAGCTCGTCGTTATGGCACTCCGTCTTCACCTATTACGAAACATAACTGGCCAGAGCGTCACTCATCCGTATTTGGGATATGGAAGCCTAGGCAGGTAACCTATTTAACAAATGCCTAATGAGAGGACTTGAGGAAACGAAATTGTATCTCGCAAACCGTGGGAGAGAGAGACTCGAAATTCACGAGAGAAGTACAACGCACGATGGGGAGTATCGTGGGATGGGATTAAATCCAGAACAAACACACTTGGGTTTAAAGGGTGCGACTCTATTTTTAAAAATGGCTTCCAAGCACCAGATGAGGAAGTGTCATCGGGCACATGTGGATCTTCAAGAAGGCAATTGACCGAAAATCAAATAAAAAGAGATCGGATGATCTCGGTGGACTACGATACGGCAGAAGTGCAGGGAATTCCTTTAGAGATGCTGTAGGACTCCATCTCCATTCCAGGAATGGATGTCATATTCAACAATGGATGGAGTGGCACTCTCTTTACCCCTATTACTTTCTTCTGGAACTTTTCATTTCATCATGTGTTATGCTTCTCCCGTGAACCTCAACCTTGCGAGCTACATTAATCCGAATACCACTTGCGAGCTGCATTAATCCGAATATCAGTTCCGGACTCTGTAGCCAATCCATTCTGCACAACAATACTGACTCAATGTTGGTAATTGGTTGATATGTTGATGCTTATGATGCAATGCATGGTCCACATTGACTCGATGTTGACAAATGAGATAATTACCAATACTGCGAGGAAATTGAATTTGCGTTGCACTTCAGTTGAGTATTGAATGTCTTGCAAATGTTCTTTCAATATTGCAATGATGTCTGGCGAGCCATCTGACAGTTGTTTGAACCAACAAGGTTCCGAGATTCTGAAATAATATGGCGATTTAACAATTATTATAGCGAGTTACCTCATACATGCAACTGGCAAAAGCCCCTAGTACTTTTCGAACTGTACTTGATCCTTTTCCCACCGGTGTCCCCGGGGAAAGGATTAAAATTCCTCAATAGTGTCGCGGAAGCGCCAGAAATGCGGTTGAGGATGCTGCCTTTCTCTTCGTCATAGCGGTTGAAATGGTTCGACGCGGCGGTCACTCGGTTAGCCTTCTGGGCGGATGTCGGTTCTCTTGGCACCCATTTCTCAGTCACCTCTTTGAACTTGAGGCGAGTGTGGATAATATCAATACTTTTGACACTCCCAATGTTAATGTTTAGTTCTTCTGGAAAATCTTCCACGGTAACGCGACGATTTTCCAGAATCAATTGTTCGATTTGCCGGATGTTCACAGGATTCACAACAGTATCTTGCGGATGGTCACGCTCAAGGAATTGTCAAGGATTCTTGACCGTCTTGAAATTTCTTGCACGATCGAATACACTTCTCCTCTCTGAACAGTCTTCCCCGAACTGTGCTTGTTTTCTTCGGAACGTATCGGCCTCCTTCAAATTCTCTTTCACGTGAAATTTTATCATAGAAAGCTGTTTAACCCCGGAGGATACACCATCAGACGCCATGTTCTTCACAATCAATAGCGCTTGCGCAATGGTTGCCGGTCTTGGCATAAATCACATTGAAGATTGGAGCTATCCGTCATATTAGGCTTTCAGACTTTTTCTATCCTATTTACTTTCTAGAATAGAAAGTGCAGGTAAGTATTGAACCACACTCATAGAAACTGCCGAGAATAAACAATTAGCATCTTAATACGTCGTGACTGATGAATTGTGTTCACAGTGTATTCAGTTTCTCATTATTTCTGTTTTTCTGACGTCATCGCTCTTTAGATTTAGACTTTCATTTTTTATTTTTACTTTGTATGCCTCGCGATAGGCTTTCCTTTCCACCTTTTCTTGCTGTTTCCACCACCCTAATTCTCTCTGAACGAGAATGTGGATACTTTCTCAGAAAACAAGGACTCACCTCCCCCTTCCGTTCGTCAATAAGTCCCGATAAGAGATCCTCTTCTTGAAGTCAGATGTTTGGTAGGAGTTAACAGTAGCATCGAAAGATTCCATGAACAGAGAGACGGAAGCACACGATTGTGGAGAGAGGTGCATGGAAATCGAAGAAGCTCGTTGGAATTGACATTAATAAACGCAATAATGCATAGTCGTTAAGGATGGAACTTAATGGACTCAGCGACCTTGGCAAACAGAGTGAGTTTGTAGGTTTGGGGTTGTGCTTTAGAGTGAAGGTGGATTATGAGGGCGACTAATTGTATGAGTAAAGGCCATTCTTCTCCCTGAATCCTACTACGCTATAATTGAAAAAAAAAGTCCAAATAGTAAACAAATATACTTTCAGAAAGAAAATCGCATGTCTTTCTGAAAGAACTTGTTTTGGGTCAGCCCAGCCGTAGAATTGTGAGACTGCCTTCTTTAAATTGATTCAGACACTATTCTCCTAAGCTGAAACAAGAAGCTCACAATGAAATGAAAATGACACCAGAATGAAGCTTTTATCGTAACTAGAGGGGAAACTATTGCAGAAACAGTTTCGCATTCCCACTCCGGATGGGCGCTGGGACCGAAAATTAGGTCTCATTAAAATGCATGTATCTGGAGATCTGTGGGAGAAATAAAAAAAAATTGGTTGAAATACCTCGTAAGTCTCTTTAAATCGATTCCTCTACGTGTATGCCGATTTTCGTCAAAATCAGAGATGCTCGAGCTCACTCGCTGGTCGAATTGGCGCGGAATGACCCATTTTCAATTCTCCGACAATGGTGCAGTTGGCCTGATGGTGAGCGGAAGGAGGTGGGGATATTCAAAGAAACGGAAAACCACGGGAAAGACGCACCGCGAGGGATATGAGCGATAGTCACTTCAGCTCGCTGATAACGGGCGAGTCCAGCACCATGTGTTTGTATGCGCCATCGTTCCTGCGGGAAGTTTCCCGATGATCCGGCACAAACGCCAAATTAGGTCGAGCGAGGACAAATGTATCCTGCATTACTCTATCTCAGGACGGTCCCCGTCCAAGACCCACATGCATCTCTTACCTCCTTCCCGCTACCTCTTCTAGGCTTACTGGTCACTTTTCCCGTAACACGTTAAAGCCAACTAATAAACACTTTCATAGTTGCGAACTGAGCATCTGATTTTTCTTCGGACAATCCGCAATCTCGTATCAGTATCATTTAAGCGTTCGCGCGCGTGCACTTTCGTTGCTCTGACTAGGCCTAAATGCTGAAACCTCTTTTTCCCCCCATAGAAGTCCATGGTTCCTTAAAGGCCAGTTAACTTATGGAGATTTCATAATTAAGGCCTTATTCATTTGTCTTAATATGACATAGGATGGGGGGGGGGGGGGGGGGGGGGGGGGGGGGGAAAAAAACGGCAGCTAACAATTAAACCTATGCGATAATTTTCCCTTTCTAACCGCTCAAGTGCGAAAGTGGAAATGAAATTCTTTCTTCGTGATGCTGTAAGCGTGGATATCGCTTGGGGAGAGGGAATCAACTGCAGCTATACCAAACTCATAAATTCTGGTTTAGGCATAAGAGGAATTGCTATGACAACTTCCACTATTTCAACTGCTGTTGGTCTCTCCACACATTTCCCTTCCTTTCCCAAAATCTATATAGGTTAGCCCAAAATATGCACAATCAGTATGCCTTCTAGTCCCATGGGGGTAATAAAACTGAACTCTGTGAGACGTTCATCTTGATCATCGGTTCATCGTTTTATCGGTATCTTTTTTTTTCGGATCCCTCTTGACGAATATCGGTTTATCGTACGTGTATATTGGTAAAATTCCTCATCGGTAACATCCCTAGCCTAACATCCAAGTCCAAGTGATGGAGTGTAATAAACCTTAAAATTGACTCGTGCCATTCATGTGCCGAGGCAATCTTGGCCCTCCTACAGAACTGCATTTGGGCGTCTATTGCCCGAGTGCCAGAGATGTTGGTAGCGTTGGCTGTGCTAAGTAGGCACACCTCCCTCATTCCCTTCTCTGCTGGCCGAGATTTAAGCCGCGTGTAGTGTCCATTGCATTTAAAAATTAAAAGACGTCTCATTTTGAAGTTTCCGAAAAAAATTGAAGGTAGATTGCACTCAGGACCAGCTGCATGGGGAACCATGTTCCATTTGAGGGAAGGTTGCTTCCCTGCAATTTCCTGTCATTGTAATCTCAAATATGTCCTGTTGGACCGTTATCAGGGGAACTTCCAAGCAATGAAAGATATTGCTGTTATCTTGGAACCGTTGCGTCTCTTGGGGTCTGTTCATCAGATTTACGAGTTACCAACGCAGTTTCTGCATTTCATCGCGTCTTGGCCATGTCAAGGGTCAGCAGAACCAGCAGGAAAGGCTGAATAAAAAAGACAACCATAGTAAATACCGAGACTATACTTGGTATTTTTAATTTGGAACCTGTAAATCTGCTGAACAGACCCCAGACATGTCGCATGACATGATGTTTGATCGGATTAATAACTTAAAATTACGACAAAAGGTGATTTGAATTAGGTGTCCTTGAAGAGAAGTCATGCAGAGACATTTATCCTCTCAGTACACGGTAGGACATCTTTCTTATCATTGTGACTTTTCACACTTATCTTTTTTTTTTCTTTTTTTTTAGCGACCATGAACCAGGATCCTTTCGTCGTTCGAGGTTGAGCCCAGGGTAGGAAATCCTCTGAGTTGGGGTGAGAAGCAATCACGCACCCGCGCTTATACCGCATTCTTATCTGAGTTTGTTTTGTGCGTGAATGTGTGTGCACTGTGCGTCATTTGTCTCAGATATGAACGCCACATGAGACAAGGTCTCTTCCGCGCCCTTCGTTTTAGGTTTTACCCTCTTTCATCAGTCTGCAAGTTCATGTCTGTTTTCAGAATCTCGAAGACGAGACGAGCCAAAGGTGAGGCAGAGGCAAGTCGAGGGGGTGGCGGTCGACGGCTCGAACAAAAAAATGTCGTTATCATGGCTTTTAAATACCAATAAAAACTTTTCTCGCAAAGTTGTTTTACATTCGTTACATCCAGTACAAATATATCAGTTTATGAAATCATTAACCCTCCCAAACCCGCGTGGGGTAGTCTTGATACCCAAGTCGAAAATTTCTGTAGCATCTCAGTGGAGCTTTTTCCTTGTGCTTCATCTCCTGTAAGAACCTCGGAAACATATCAAGTGTAACAATAAGAGTATGTTATGAACAATGAACGTGCAGTGTGGAACCTTTCGCTTCCCTAGTCTCTGAAAGAAACTGGTGTAGTTTGAATACTCGCACGGGCTCCGGAAGGTGCTGAATGAATGGTACGGGCCTCAGAGGGTAAGAACCAAAGGAAGTGGTCGTGGCCAATCTGGTTTGCCCAGCTCGATCGTCGGCTTCAAATTGCCAGAACTCACATCATCTGATGATCACATTTGCACATCGATTGATGTAAACGTCATGACGTAAAAATATTACTGAATGTTATTTTATTATATGAAACGTGGAGCATCAATTCATAAAAGAAAGTCTCGCGTTTTTTAAGCGCAGATCAGCAAATTTTAGGTTGGTTGTGGCAGCGCAGCAAATTTAGGATGGTGTTCTGTGTGAATTCCTAGTCATAGTCGGGCCTCGGGTCGATTGTAGGGTATACGCCAGGCTTCATGCGCTGATTCCTGAAAGAGGGATCCCGATGAGATTGACGATCGTAGGGCGAAACGGCACCGGCGATGTTAAATGGCTCTTGAACCTTCCCCTCAGCACGAGGGAAGCCCTGATTCTGCCCGTTGCCGTAAAAAGGGAATGGAGCCTGACGGTTGTCCACGTATCCGTTGCCGGATTGAAAAGCGGCATTCAAGTGGGCTTCGTGTTGTGCCATCGCACGCCGTCGTTGTCGGCGTTGTTTTCCTATGGTCTGGAATCGAGAAATCACGACAAGGACGAAGTAGAATCCAATGAGGCCGAAGAGGATTAGCACGCCGCCGGCGATTTGCACTCCCCATACGGCTTGCTGAGGGAGATCAAGGACGAAGGGTGCGGGCGTGGAGAAAGGAGGCACGGACCAGGTAAAACCATCCGGGGTAGTAAAAGTCTCAGAGAGCTCCTCCACCGCCTGGTCATAGGCGTTGTCCAGGTGCTTTTGGATCTCCGTTTCGAATTTATCCACCCAGGCTTTGGCTTGAACGACGGTCAGGATCCCCATTCCTATCCAACTGAGGGATTTCAGAATGTTGAAGAGAATCCACGGTGACAGCAGGCACCGTACCTGAAAGGAGAAAGGCAATCTTCCCAGATAAATAATAAACATAACCAAACGGGCATCTGCCGGTTGCAAGTTGTTCAGTTTTTGGAAAATTTTGACTTACATCCCCTGGCCAAGTCGACAGATTTGACGCCATTAGTTGCAATGAAATGTCATATTTCAAGCGCGTACGCGCACAGTGGCGTCGCCATGTTAGCCCTAAATGGTCATCACTTTTAATCGGTCGTGTGATCAGATAAGATGAGATGTGCCCGTCCATTTAAATCAGGGGTGCCAAGCACACGGCCCGCGACCCGGATCTGGCCCGCAGAGGTGGCACATCCAGCCTGCCGTCTGTTCATGAAATTTCTGCTTAAATTGGCTACACTAATTCGGTGAAAAGTATGAGTGCGGCCAGCAGGCATCTGCAGGGTAAGAAATGCGGCCCACCAACCGAATTGAGTTTGACACCCCTGCTTTAAATAAAAAAACATGACTGAGAAGATAATAATTAAGCCCTTCCAGGGGATAAGGCAGTATTTAGTGCTGCAGGAATTGGGTCTTACTCGTGTTTATTCTACAAGGAGAAATCGAAAAGTTCTTGGACTTTTTCTGCTAGCACAGTTACTCAAGGAGCAAATTTTCAGCTTGAGATGGTTTTTCTAGACAGATCTGCAGCGTCATCACTAGTTTTTCTGAGGGAGAAAGCATACCCCAGGCGAAGGGTTTTCTGGGGGCATTGAATTGTTGCCCTAGGGATGGGTAAAATTTGCATACCTCAAAGGAATGAATGTCGAGAAATAATTTATGAAATTAAAGAAATACATTTGTAGATCATTTGGATTCTGTGTCGTTTAGTCCTGGAACTTCCCGATTGCCCCTCGTAGTTACTTTGTGATGCACTGGGTTTCAAAGCCAAGAGTGTTGAGCTGGTTGCACCAACCTCACATCACTTCCCAACCCTTCTTTGCTCCTTGCATTAAAGCTTCTTCCCCTAACCTTAGTTCACATCGTGCAATAGAATAATTCGAAGCGATGGAAACAGCGTTGTGAGGGGGTACGTTCTACAAACTCTGGATTATCCTGAAGGATCGTCTCCATATTTATTAGCTTGTTTGTTTCTTCGTTCCCTATTCAGTGAATGTTCGATGCAACAATAAATGTGTCACCATTGTTTGTCAGGACCTTGGTGCTAATGAATCATCTGCGATGGATTTCAATCCCATGACTCGATGAGAAAGGAATAGTATTTTAACAGGCCTCTCACAAAACCCTAAGTCGTAACACGTCCTGTCATGTAGTCATCGACTCAATGGCTCTCAATGTCAGGATCCAGAAAAAGGCGGTATCTGGAGCCAGTAGCCGACGTTTCCAACCATGCGAGAAGATACCCATCCAAAAGGCTAACTTTCTGCGATATCAGATGGTCCATTTTTTACGATACCGTCGCCTGACAAAGGAAAGACAAGAGAAAAAGGGATAACTGAATGCTTAAATTTGGTTTGTTTTTATTTGAGGCCCAGACAGTAACTTCTAATGGGACCCACATTTGGGGGCTATTGCAATTGCCATCTGCAACGTTAATAAATGGCTACCTCCTATTATTCTCAAGATAAAATGTCAAGAAAGATCGAAGAACGGTGGAGTCCGTTTACTTTCAAAAATACTGCAAATAAAAAGGGATGCATTATATACTTAAATGCATTGAATTTTGCTGTCCATTGAGTATCTTAATTTCATGCTAGTGTTTTATATTTATTCTGTTTCATTCAGTATTACCCATCTCTTCTTACAGAATGAAAACGTTCAACTCTAGGGTGACCCAAATATTCATTTTCGCACATAAAATATTTAAACAACGCCGCAATGCACAGTGGTCCTAAATAACTTCGGGTTAAACTCACTTTGTAGGCTCCGATGAGGAGAAGGATGTCACAGAAGAGGAAGACGCTAAACCCTGCCAAGATTATGATGCTGCCGATATTGAAACCTGCGTTACATGGAAAACGAAGACATTGAATAAGGAACTGACAAAGCAACTCCAGACTGGTATATGTATGCACTGATGGTAGTGGACAAATATTGTACACACTGATTGCCTTCTTTGGGAACTAGAGAAAACGAAAGTAGGATCGGATGCAATTCAATTCTTCCAATGCTCTCATGGGGCTTTAATTAGAAAATCCTGGTCGGCATGTGGTGTGTACATGAACGCTTCCACCCATCAATGAATAGGCATGTGTAACTTCAGACCTTTGATTTCATCTCGCAAGAAACTCTCGGTTTCATTCACGAGTATATTGAAGACGCTTTCATATTGGAGATCGGAACCAGTCACAGCGTCTTTGATGAATTCCTCGATCAATTTTATGTATTCACTTATTCGTTCATCAAGAGAGAAATAATATAGCGCCCCGCCTATTCCCAATAGCAACAAGCAGAAGATCTGGAAAAAAATTCAACGGAGAAAAATAACAATTAGGAAAATGATGACAAAATTCATAGGAAAAAAATATGAAAGTATTTAACGTTCTCATTTGGTTCTCCAACAATCAAGCTAAGACAACATGCTCTCCTCAAGCGATATCCACGCTTACAGCATCACGAAGAAAGAATTTCATTTCCACTTTCGCACTTGAGCGGTTAGAAAGGGAAAATTATCGCATAGGTTTAATTGTGCATGATGATGGCAGAGGAACAACTCATATATTAAAAAAAAAACTCATATATTATCTCATCAATAGTTCTGATTTAACCAATGCTTGCCTTTGAACACAATTTTTTGGTTTTGTTCAAAAGCGTGAAGTGAGAGGATCTGTTAGAAACATATCAATCTGTGCAAAGTAAAAGTTTTGTGAAAATAGCTCCAATGGGAGCGAAGGTATATTGGTTAACAATTGTAGGCATTTTTTTCTTGCCATGCCCTACATATAGGTTCGAGTTCTGTACTGTTGCGCCGGGGTGCGACAACCCTATTGGCTCTTTATCCGTGCACATGAACGGGATAAGCCCGCAGGGCTGTGAGCAAAGGGTGTACGTAGAGAGACCTCCGGTCAGGAGCCACGCCTCATCACCCACTAGTTTCTATTGCGGAACGGCATTTGACATTCCTGACACTATAAGAAAAGGCACAATATGTGATGGAGTGTGCCTCTGCTGGATATTTCCAGTACTTCCAGGAATATCATCTCATATGTGACGTACGAGGGCGATGGCAGAGTTTCGTTTTCATCGAGTAAAAAAATGGAGAAAATGGTTTATTTGATCAATTGGAGCACAAATCATTCCCAATCTTTCTGATGATAAACGTTTGGGTATTCTTTTGAGCAAAATTCCTCACGTCGAGCTAGCCAAAGGTTGACTCTCATGAATTCCGTTCAGTCCGATATGGTATGACTTCGATCTCAACTGTTCCAATCTCTGAAAGATGATTTCAGGGAAACGTTAGATCCTGATACTGAATTCTCCATTCCCAAAAATGATTGGTGGACCGGGTGCCTCATCCCAGCCATGGCTTCTTTGGAATTTTTTTAAATACGCGTTCTTCGGTAGTGAGTCACTGTATCGCATTGGTGACTACAACTTCAACATTGCCGAACATCGAGTCATGCATTAAATTGGGAAAGAGTGTTTCAGACTTTGCAAATGTTGCAAATTGCCCGTTGTCATATGGCGTGCAGATGAATTCAGTCGGTTCAAACGTTTCAGGGAAAGTTCGTGAATTGCCGACGAAGACCGTGAAGGACGGTTTAGCACCAATAACTCCCTGGAAAATGTGTTTCGTTTGATAGGAACTGGTACGGCCGGATAGGCGAAAAATCCTTGCCCAGCTGGCAGCGCAATAGGGTATCTCACATGCAGGCTGCCATTACCATTTGATCAATTCCCTCAGCGTACGGCGTGTGCCGCGCCCTATTTATTTAAAGACGCTGATGGATGACTTTCAGGCTGCCAGAATGATAACGTATCGAGATCTCATCGCCCAAGCCAGCAGAAATCCAGAGTTCTTGTCACACGTCATCAGTGACGAGACATGGGGTGCACATGCACGATCCCTAGTCAAACTCCGAAAGGATCATGTGGTAGATGTCGTCATCTCTTCGTCCAAAGTGACGAAAGGGCCGTTTACGCGGAAAGATCTTGGTGATATTCTTAATCGACGCGGGCATTGCGCAACACGAGTTTCTTCCTCATGAGCACACTGTGGCTGGGACATGGCATCTAGATGTTCGTACACCCTTGCTTGATGTACACGCCCGTTTTGCCACTCGTCCCAAACGGGCGGAGCAACGCCGATCTTGAGTCGTGGCTGCGACGCGATAGCATCTCCTCCCCTCCCCCACGTCTATTTTCCTGGCAACGTTTCGGGCCAGGCACCAACCAAGTCAATATTCTTCACCATCCCCCACATTATTCAAATTCGGAACCCTCAGATTTCCCTCCTAAAACTTAAAAATGTAACTTGAAAGGTAGCCGATTTGAGGACGTCCAGAAGGTTTAAGTAGCCACAGCAAATTACGAGGCAGCAAAAAAACGGCTTCCAGTCTTGTTTCCAGTAGTTGCACGATTGTAGGGAAAATGTGCGATTGTCCAAGGGGACTACTTAGGTCACTGTAACTAATAAATTGGAAGTACTCCCATAATAAATTCTGTCTTGGAACTTTTTGAACATTCCTAGTATAAACTAAGGCACCCTAAGGCATAAAATCTTACTTTTTGGGTTCATGCTGAGAAATAAGATCGATTAAAGTTTACAAAGAATTTTAGAAGCCTTTAGAGGCCTACCTTGATATTACATGTAATATACATGTAATATCAAGGTAGGAAGGTATACATATTAAGGAAATCCGGTTCAGGAAATTTTGTTTTAAAGGACTAACCGCATCAAGAAGGGCGATGCAGATCGAGGCAGACTTGGTCTCGCAGCAGCAGTAGCAGCAACGCTTCATCAACACCATCTTGGACGGAAACTTCTGTCACGTGAAACTAAATTAATATATGAATGATGGTGCAAAATGAATGGGTCCCAGACGATGGGACGGATGGCAAGTGAATCATTTCATTTATTTCATTCGGGTGAGAACCATAGAGATATCATATCGGTCTTGACGTTGCACGAATGCCACTCTTATCGCGAGCTCAAGTGTACAGAAAGAGCATGACAGTCCTGTCTCGAAAAAGCTCAAACAGCCATTGTTCCTATGTTCCCCCACACATGTGCCGCATCTTGCGAAACAGATAAAATGACGGGGGATCCGAAGAACGTCACACGACTATTGGGTGCATGAATCACCTTGAGATGAATCAATTGAAGAAGTACATCCATGTGACTCAAACCTTGAACGTCGATCAACCGAGCGGAAGAAATAGTTTTTTTTTGTACTGAGCGCGATAATTTTTCCTAATTCCAATCGAGTTTCCGCGAATCCATGAAAAAGTATTCATCCTAGAACCGCAATGAACCATGGTTTTAATTGGAATGGTTTGGAAACAAGAAAAATGGAAATTAATGATGAAATTAAACAAAACAAAAAATAACAAAATGAAACATTCATGTCTATTTGTAAAGGTCTTGCAAGAGTATATTCACCGAATTTTCTGGGGGGGGGGGGAATGGAGGAAAAGAATATAGAGAAATAGGGAGAAATGCAAGATGTTTCCGTTTACATATAAGGCATAGGACGAAAGCAAAGACAAGAAACGAAGCAAGAACCGCGAGTCGATTCGGATTTCGAATAAATTTCAATAGCTTCCTCCTTCCTTTACAGAACTTCTTGGATGAATTTCGCTTATTGGCATTAACTTTCGCAGTTGCAGAGCCTACGCAGCCTTCCGAGGGGCTTCCTGATTAATCTCTGATAGGTCCAGATTGTATTTACACAGATGACGTTTTCCAACCATTGGATGTCGAAATAAGGTGGGCAATTAACGGATAGGATAGAGATAGCAGGTGGAGTCTGTCCCAAGCTCTCCGTTTTCCGGCTCGCGGCTGGAGCTGTCCCAGACGAAACCGATAGTCGGTTCAAGCCTGTCTCTAATCAATGCTCACTTTCTTCCATCAGCTAAAATCTTCAAACAGCCATGAGTGAATTTTTCCTCTGAAAATTTTCAAACTGCGAGATTTTCTCATCGCAATGTGAAAATCTCTATCATGGTGATGTGTTGGAGCACATCGATAAACCAATTTTCGCTGGTGTCGAAGTTCGACAAGTAGAGAAAATCTAATTTTTCCAAAATAGCTATGACCATAAGGATGTGACAGTTTCCTCGACTGTCTAATTTCATAAGAAAGCCTATACTGTTGTCAACACCTCACGATATTGCCCAATTGTAATTTGACTTTCACGACCCCAAAATTTGAAGATTTTCAGTCGATCATTGTCGATATAGGTTGTACGGAAGTCTGGAACGCTTCCAAAAGTTTCATTTTTCATTGCATTCATTTCAAATTAGGGTGCAAACATTCCGCACACACAGGAGGAATGACAAAGGTACTAATGACAAGATTTTTGTATTGGACGTTTCAAGCAACAGCAAGGAAAGAAGAAAAAGTTGAGAAGAAAACGAATTAAAACATACCGTGGGCAAACTTTACATAATCAACAGTTTCCATTTATCCTACAATTGGATATAATTTAAGGGCACAGTTTGAAAAGGAAAAATCGAGTATTCTGCTTTGAATAGCAATTTGATTTTCTCCACAAATACCTTGATCATTGGTCTGGTTTTGTTCAGGGAGCACCGGAATGCGTAATACGAGGTACTTGGCGTGGTACAGGATGATGTTCCAGATATCTTCAGAAGGGGGCATTCAAACAGAATTGTCATGAGGGTTCTATAACGTTTAATGATGGAATTCGATTTCAAGTAATCATCTCTCTCCAAATGTCCGTACTTATCGGCATTCAAAGTTTACGTAATAATCAGGAGCATCACAGACTCTGTTTCCTCCTTGTAGGAGCACAAGGGGTCATTGGAAATCTTCATTTTCGCCAGGGCGTCTTTTGTCGGCAAAATTCTATTTATCAGCTTCATTTAAACCATCCGACTCTCGCCTATTTAATTTTTACTGGCATGGTCAAAATGAAGCTGCATTTCTCTTCTATTTGTTTTAAATTTATTGTTCAAACTTTTCTGGATACTTCCCGCCATTTTCTTGACACATTCTAGCGATTGTACAGATGGCGCCGTGTGCTTAATCTTCTTCGTCTCCCAATAACGCGTCAATCAATTTCATGAAAGTTTCTCTTTTTGCTGAAGTTTGAATATTTAATTTCAATTCAACCGCTGTCTGACCAGATCTGTAGCCGGCCTCGATATACACGTTGTTGACATATCCTCTCAAACTTGAATTTATCAATAAATAATTTATGTCATCAATCACCATCAAATACGTCATCAACCCAAGTAACACAGTATGTTCATGAAACGTTTCCGAAATGTTGCCTATGTTGCAAGTTGATCTACATCATTGATAAAACATTGCTTCAATGTTTTCACTTGGAATGCTGCGGTGACACTTCTACGAATGTTATTGCAACATTTGCTATCAACATTGAGAGAATGTTGACACTCTTGACATTGACAACGTAGCAACAGCATTCTGATACAACATGGACTTAGAAGTTTTTGGGAATTATAAAGTTGTCCTCCTTGCCACAAGATGGAGACGTATGTCTCGCTTTTCTCACAGTATACAAAAGTGTCCTTCTCCCCAGCAAACAAGGCTACGTTGGACCAACGTTGTATCAACGTTCCTAACGTTCATTCATTGTTGATTCAACGCTGATTCGACGTTATGCGTTTCAAATTGTTTGCTGGGTCCCTTTCCCTGGAATTGTCCCGCACAGGAATGTTTAGTACCTTGCAAACGTCTCGCATTGTCTCATTATAGAAATCAATGAACACGGACACATCATCACCTGTTATCCTCATTTTCCAGACAGATTCATGGGGTCAAGATAAAGAAGCTCTTATTCCCCAAAATAACCCTTTCTAAAAACTCGTCCATTGCATCCTGCATTATAATAAAAACGATGGCAGAGAGTCTGTGATCTCAATCGTTCTTATCCTCATCCTGAGAACTAGATGATGAAACGACGGACTGATTTCATGGAAACTCCAAAGAACATGGCGGTCGGACCTTTTCTTGTAATGTGCCATATTTAGCACATTACAGGAGAAGATCACCTCGAAAAATGTCCTGTCTCCTGCTTGTACATGATACAGACACCATATTATGCATGGGTAGGGCTTATACCAGTGCAGGCTTCGTCCTGTTGATGGAAATGTCTGAGTAGAGGTAAAGTATATGGTACGGAATGATGAAATAAATAATTCAATATTGGTCGAATATCGGTCCAGTGAAGCCTACGCTTTTCCGTAATGCCAATATAGGCCCAGATTGGGTATCCGTGAAGCAAAGTTTTTAATCAACATTGCAGCAACATAAACCCTGAAACGTATCTGCAATGTATATGGAATGAATAAGTAGCGATCTGCAACGTAAATGCAATGTTCCTCCGCAACATTTGAGCAACGTTGACGTTTTGGACATTTACACATAGATGCGACATTGTTCATCAACATTTCCTAAACGTTGCTGGAATATCTTGTGTTACTTGGGTCCCCAGCCAGCTTCACATGCATACTTTCCCTCTTTTGCGAAACATGAGTATCCTGAAGACAAAATACTTGAGATTTTTTGGCTTTTAGGAAGTGGAACAAATCACTCATTCTTAGCCTCTTCTACAGTTCAAAGACAAAGTTTCAATTGAGTCATCAATCAGATTACTTATCATTGCTTGTTGCTCTTCCGTGAAGCACCCCACCAACTCATCCTATCTGCGGTATATCAAACTCTCCCAAGATCTGCTTATTGCTTAAATAAATTTCATCTTCTACATTGTTAAATGGCCGCATATGATAAATGTTGAGATACAAATACCCCCTAGTAGGCCGTAACATTGAATCAACATTGATTAAATGCTAATTTAACGTCTGGATGTTGATTTAATGTTAGGTGCTACTAGGGACCGTACAGATAAAGTTAGAAGCTTTCTACAGGGTGGGCCAAAAAAATCCACATTTTTCATTTAGCTGTCACATATTCACTAGTCGAGATAGGCGTCTGCAATTTCTGCTATTGCTTAGAATGCTTAGACTACAATAAAACACACTTCATATTGCGATAATCAGTTCAGAAGGTTTTGCACAGTGACGATTTTACGGCGAGAGGTAAAAAAACCGCCGGTGCGCGAACTGATGTGCGGGATTCTCCGTTTCATTCGTACGTGGAGGCCAGGCTTGGTATCCCAAGGACACTGCGAGAGCCGCCGCGGACAACATCTGCGCTGCATTCAAGGGCAACGTCGTCCATTATTCCACGGTGTCTCGATGGTTGAAACGCTTGGAATCTGGCGACACGACCTTCGGAGATCGACCACGCTCAGGACGTCCATCTACAGTCGATGACGAAGCCCTGCGGAACCCCCTCGACGCGAAGCCGAACGCCACCACTCACGAATCGGCGACTACACTTGGAATCACCCATATGGCCATCGGCAACCATCTGAACGACCTCGGCTATCGGAAGGTTTACTCGACATGGGTCCCTCATCGGCTCGGCGACTCTGACAAAGCAAGCCGTGTCAGTGTCTGCGAATCACTGCTCCTTCGTTCGCACAGAAAGGACCTTCTGAAGGAAATCGTTACTGGAGATGAGAGCTGGGTCCTCGACGTCAACCATACTCGCAAGAGTCAGTGGCTTCCACGAAGAGAATTGCCGCCACATGAACCGAAACCAGGGTTCCACGAGAAGAAGGTTCTTCTCTGCTGTTGGTGGGATTCAGAAGGAATGTCGTACTATGAGCTCCTGCCAACCGGTACCACCGTGACTGCCGTCGTTTACGCTGCTCGACTTCAGAAGTTGGCTGGCGTCATTCAAAAAGAGCTTCCCAAACGCGACAAAGTTCTCCTTCTGCATGACAACGCTCGTCCACATGTTGCGAAGATGACTCGCCATACGATTTCGGAACTGGGCTGG